ACAATTCTCAGCAGTTGGGGGGCACGTGATTCCTCTTGGTCAATGTCAGGCTGCAACGTGTTGATAAGAGGCGTCACATGACCCTTTTTGGACCAGTCCTGACAGGTGGAGCATGAAATTAACACCTTTGTGGTCTGTTAGCATCATCCCATTTTGACATGGACGAATAAAGTATTTTCCTATTGGTTCAGTGGGGATTACATGCTCATAGAGGGACACATCCTGTCTTTAGCAATTAAGAAGGTTATCAGTTATGTGTATTTGCTTATGTGAAGGCTTTGCAGTAATGATATCTGTTGAACTGTTTGTTCAGTGAATTACTTTGTGCGTATTACAGTAATTGGTTTAATTAAGGTAAATTGATGCAGAATTAGATATGCTATCCGTGTGAAAGGAAAGTAGCTATCAAGTCACTTCTGTCAAAAATAACACCTTGTTTATATCCTGCCATTTTATGCAAGTATACAATACGCCTTGCATGAAATAAAGATAATACAAAAATGAAGCACTGCCAAAAATGCATACGAAAGCATATTACATAAGTAACTAGGACGTTTTTCAAGGATTTTGAATTCTTATTTGCTCATTTTAAGTAGTTTTATACCCTTTAATTTATATTTGAGGCACTTTACAAAAGAGAATAAGGCCACCAAAATAGTCAGCTAGATTAAAATTGCATCTCAGAAATTGGGGGAGTAAAAAAGGGTCTTCACCTAGCACCAGAAAGAGGTTCAAGATGTCCCACAGAATCCAAGGAGAGGAGAGACATGGCAGGGACTGTGCTACCCTAAGCGCCACCTTTCTTTGCAAAGTGCCCAGTTGTTTGTTTGGTTGGCTGGTTGGTTGGTTGGTTGGTTGGTTGGTTGGTTGGTTTTCCCATTTGGGCTGCAATCCCCTGCACACACGCTTCCATTCAAGCAAGCCCCACTTGAATCCAAGGTGACTTACTTCTGAGGAGAGACACACACAGGGGCTGTGCTACTCAAAGTAGCTTCTCAATGTCCCCAAGAGGGATGCAGTTTCGTGGCCAGAGGGGAAGGCAAGGGCTGCCTCTGTAGCATCATAAGGAGAAGCTGAGAGGAAGGCGGAGCCTTAGGTGGCTGTGTCACATTTCAGAAAAAGAAATAACGTTGCCAGCCCAGTTGCCCACCCCTCACCACCCACCCCGGGCAACGTGCACCCACTATCCCAGTCCTCCGCTATTGTGAGGTGTCTTACCAGAGAAGGAGGAAAAGAGGGGAAATGGAGCATCTATGTGTCAGGATTTTCATTCTCTCCCGTGCTGCAGAGTGTGTGTGACTACTAGATCACATGTTCTGTATGTTGATGTTCCATTCTTTGGAAGCGTGGGAACCAAAGGAACTGTGCTCCACTTATGTCATCTTTGTTCTCCCCCCCCCCAAAAAAAATTATTCATTTTATAACACAAATGAAAAATACAAACAGAAAAGACAAGCAATTCGAACAAATTCTTGTCATATCATTATTTTTCTAAACATTGTTAAGTGGGCTTCCCCAAGTCCCACCTATCTGATTTTCATTTTACTTCACCTTTAGCAGTTTACATATATCATAATTTCTAACCATTTTTTTATCACACTTACTTTAACCACAAAAAACTTCACATTTTATCACTTACAAATAATACTATTTTAAAATACACTACCTTCTGCTTCTAACCCTACAGCCTATATCAACTTCCAAAGCTGTTCTAAGGTTTAAATATTAACATATTTTTTCAAATATTCCTTAAACATCTTCCAGTCTTCTTCCACCGTCTCTTCTCTCTGGTCTCGGAGTCTCCTGGTCAGTTCGGCGAGTTCCATATAGTCCATCATCTTCATCTGCCATTCTTCAATAGTTGGTAAATCTTGTTTCTTCCAATTCTTCGCTAACAATATTCTCGCAGCTGTTGTGGCGTACAGAAAAAAAGTAACATCCTTTTTGGGGATTTCACCCCCCCCCCACTATAATAAATAATAAATGTGTTTTTCAACACTTTTTTCAATTCATTATAAATCCTTTCCCAGAAGTCTTTTACCTTGGGGCCATCTTCATTGTTCTTTGTTCTGTTCTGTTGTTCTCTCTCGGAGGAGAAGAGACACGCCATAATGGCTCTGTTCTTTCGATCCTGTAAATAAATCACTAGACCCAGATGCTACGTATCCTCAGTCTCAGCTTCTGCTAAGTTCTGCTGCTTGCTTGAATGTCTGGAGGAGTGAATGCTGTGCTATGCGTTCTGGACTGGTGCCGGGAGAAAGCCGTCTCCCACCGAGAAGCACCAACAATTTGTGGGTAGGTGGGTGGGTGAGGCCTTACAAAAAGCACATCCAGACACACTACAGCAGCTGCAGTGGGCCAATGGCGTCTGAGGCTCTTCCCCTTCACATGCCTGCATTCGGGTCTCTCTCCTGGGGCCTGATGGGAAGAGAAAGGCATCATGTTGGTGGGGAAGGGAATGCCCCTGCTGCTCCAGCAGTTGCTTCCGTGACCCCCCAACCCTACAAGGCAGGTCACACAGAGCAGACCTTATGGTCACCCAGGGCCACATTGAGGAATTTGACCCCATAGTGCCAGAGAAATAGGACTCCTACACCACCCGGTTCAAGTTCTTCCTTGCAGCCAATATGGTGACCAAACCCACTGAAGCGTGCCACATTGTTCAGTGTGTGGGAACCTGCTACGTTCGAGATTGCCCAGGCTCTTTCTCTTTTTTGCAATTTTTTATTTTTATTTTACCATATTACATTCAGTTACATATTTTCCCATTCTACACATTACATTCTGTGTATATATATATATAAATATCCATATCTATATGTATCTAACCCTAACCATTAGTATTATATCATCTGCAAATGCCCTTAATTTGAAGGATTTATTGCCTAGTATTATCCCTTTTATTCCCTGATCATTCCTTATGTCCTGATTGAGTATTTCCAGAATTAATATAAATAAGGGAGAAAGTGGACATCCCTGTCTAGTTCCTTTCTCTACATTAAAGGGTTCTGTCAATTTGTTATTAATTATCAGTTTGGCTTTTTGCCCTTCATAAATTGCCTTTATTCCTCTTGTAAAGTATTTTCCCATTTCCATCAAGTCAATAATTTTTGCCAAATATTTCCACGATACGTTATCAAATGCCTTCTCTGCATCTACGAACATGAAGGCAGCTTTTTTATTTGGTTTCATGTCCAGGTATTCAATTACATCTATGACCATTCTCATATTGTTGTTCATTTTTCTACCTGGCGGAAAACCGGCCTGATCTTGAATAATATCTTTCAATACTGTTTTTAGTCTATTGGTCAGAATTTCTGCATATAATTTATAATAATTGTTAAGCTTTGAGATTGGTTGGTAATTATTAACAACTTCTCGGCTTGCTCCTTGCTTAGGTATCAGTACTATATGTGCTTCTTGCCATGTGTCAGGTATTCTACCATCCTCTAGAATCTTATCCATGAGTAGTTTCATGGATACTGATTGGCAAGCCTAGTGTCCACAGAATGGCACCAAGCCCTCCTACTTCCATCTTCTTTTACTTTTTGTATGTTATCGTACAGGGAAACTGGTGTCTTTCCCCACTCTATGGAGCAAAATATGTCAAGTCATCCCAAGGTAGGCTCCGGTGGCACAACAGCAATGTAATCAACAGGAAAAAGTGTTGGGGCATGTGCAAAGCATCCATCCTCATGCCAGCAGTGTGCCAAAAGAACAGGGAAACACCGAACAGTTCTAGGAAGAGTCAGTTGCTTTACTGACAGTATAATGTAGTTTCAGTTATGAACAGTTGTAGATACAGTCTTTCCAGCAGCATACAGACTATGCTCTGGGCCAAGTGCTTTCTGACTCACTTTCATACGCCTGACCAGTTGCAGGTGCAGGCAAACGCACCCAAAATTAACCAGCACGGCACTAGCCCTTTCATTAAAACTAACCACTTCACAAAATCCTGGTGGAACAAGGAGGTTTTCACCTGCCAGTGGAAGGAAAACAAGAAGGAAGCCAGTCCAGCTTCTTCCAGGGAGCAACTTCCAGAGTCTGGGAGCAGACACCAAGAAGCTGGTGGAAGCGAGAGAAGCGTTTCCCCCAGAGATCTTAAAACCCAAGCAGGTTTGTATGAAGGAATATGGACCTGCACAAATGGCTTGGACCTAAGCTGTATTTGATTATTAGTGAACGGATATTGTCACTTTTTTATTAGTGAACGGATATTGCCACTTTTTTAATGCCCGTTATTCATGTTTGGTGGATTTCCTTTACTTTAGAAATAGAGTATTCTCCAATATATCTGCCATTACAGGCCAACCCCTTTCTTCAAATCCTGCCTTAGCCCTTCTGTCTTTGGACATAGACTTAGGCTCCACCCTGCACTACAGAGAACTAGCAGGCTTCTTATTGACCACAGCATGATTAGAAATAGCTTGGCAATGGAAGAGGCAGACTGAAATACCCATGAACATATGGGGAAAGGCTTTACTTAATGGGGGGGGCTTAAATGAGCTGCGCAAGGGTAAAAACGGGAGGGGAAAAGCCTTAATTACAATGGGGGAACACTCAAATGAGCTGCACAATAGTAAAAATGGAAGGAAGAACGCCTTAATTATTTTGCAGGGGACTCAACTTAACTGTGCAACAGTGAAAACGGAAGCTCAGGAGCACGTTCGGTTTCCGAGGCAAAGTTCAAAAACCGGAACACCTACTTCCGGGTTTGCAGCGTTCGAGTTCTGAGTTGTTCGGGAACTAAGCTGTTCAAAAACCAAGGTACCACTGTATCTGGGATACAGCAATGTCTGAATGTCTCACCAGACACAGGAAGGCAGTTAAAGGCATAATGAATAGAGACACCTTCCAAGACGTGGACTCCTTTATTTAACCATGTTAATGACCAAAATAAAGACCTTCTTATAGTGCAGAGGGTTAAGTAATATGTTTGAATGTTGAATGTATAAGTGTATGTCTAGAGACAATGGATAAAACAAACACCATTAGCCATACTGCTGGATAAGTGTTTAATGGTTATTGTATTTGTTTAAAAAACCAATTAAAAAAAATTTAAAGTAGCATTTTAGTATGATTATAATTTGCAGGCATCTATTTTAGTGATTGTGGAGTTTCTCTTAATTCCATAAGTATTTCTTTCACATTTGAAACAGACATCGGGAAGGGAATTTGCGTGTATATCATGTAAAAGGATCCAACTATTTCAGAAACAGAAATCAAAAGGGAAAAACCTTCTGAATATATAGCAATATATTGTCCTAGTCATAATATGGGCTGATGTCAAATAAATAGTCAAAGAAAACAAGCAATATATCAACCATATTAAAAAAATCTAGAAAGCTATAGTTATAGAAGACTCCCTCATTGGAAATGGTGCTATATGGTCTACAAATAATACATACTCAATTAACTATTATGTGGGACTTGTATAAATCATTTTTAACCCTGGATTTTTTTCTTTTGGCATCAGTAAAAAATGGGATCAGATTTAGGAGAGGAAAGGAGTATCTCATTAGAACGATAATAGGCAAAAAAAGCTTTCTATGCAACAACAAAGGAAAAACAGCTAGTAACAAAATATAATTTATTTAGATGTGTTTCAATGTCAGAATCAGGGGTTAAATAAAATATAACTTTCATATGCACTAAAAAAGAAGCAGCTTCCTTGTTGGATTATTTCAGAACAGCCACATTAGAAATAAGCTTCTTTGTTCTTAAAATAATATAGCTGATTAGAGAAGGTATTACTTTCAAAGGCAATTATTCTGGTGTAGAGATAATTATATTCTCAAGGCCTCACCTGTGGATCAAAAGTTCATCAGGCTAAGGCAAACACAAGCTTGCTCGATTAAGACTTGAGATGATTACCTTATTTATCTGTCAAACCATTATGTAGTCCTAGTAAGAGCTGGATAATCAGTACTTACGTTTCATACCATCTAGAATGGCACTAACCTTCACATCCACTGTGCTCTTTTACCTAACAATAAATGATCATTAGATGTGCCAAACATTTCAACTGTCCAAACTATAATTTTAAGCCAGCAACTGGCTCATTTTCCTTACTCCTAAGTGTCGGTCTCAGGGTATCACGTTAATAATGTGCATTGCACTGAAAACAAAACTTCCCACTGCATCTTTAAATTGTTTGTTTTTGCTGTGAAATTGCATAGGAATATTTTATGTGAAGCAATTCATGAACGCAATAAAATGAAAACTGGAAGCGTGCCTGGTTTTGTGTAATCCAAAGCTTACACCACTTACTGTTCCTTATTCATTTACACAAATTTTGGCACAGGCTTCACCCACCTGGCGGTAACTTGTGAAAAATGCCGATTTGTGGAATTAGAATTCATATCGTATCACTATTTAGGTGTTCAGTCAAAATCCAGTTGTATAGAATCGCCTGTAGCTAGACTGATGGGGACAGGGGCATATAAAAAGCATCTTAACTGGATATTCTCCATCAGTACAGAGCTGCATGTGGATCCTGATCAGGCGCCATAATCCATCTGACTCTTTTCTGAAAGTAATGGAACCAGCTCCCTATTGTGGCTGGAAACTCCATTAGCTCTCCCTTTGAATTTGGGTTCCCCTTTCCTTGCACTTCCTGCCTTGCTTATCACCTTTCCTTTGCAGCTTGCTCCTTCTTCACTTTTTATCCCTTCCTGCTTCCTTATTCCCACTTCTCCAACTGCAGCTCATCTCACAAAGGTCTTGGAGCATTGTGTGTTAAAGCCAATTGTACAACAAAAAACTTATGATCATGGATAATACTGATGCATCTTGAGAGGGACCATATCCCTATCAAAGAGATGGGGTAGCCTACAGCTTATTGGGGGATGGGGAGGGGCTCATAAAAGCCACTCCCTCAGTCTTCAGGCTGCTTATGCAACTCGGTGTTGAATAAGAAACAAACTGTAGAGTCAACTGTAATTCAGTGGCAAAGTATCTCCCTTTCCAGGATCTGGTAGGAAACTAATTAATTACCACCTTGCATGGTCAATTTATCCAACTGAAAAGAAAGAGGAAGTAATTGGAACACCGTGTTAGGAAGATATTAGAAATTACAGTGGTTTAATCAACAATTCAGTTAAACCACTGGAGCTAATTTTTTCCCGGTACTGGGGCAAGTGGAGGTATTCCACTCATATTTCAAAGAAAAACACTATGGCCTTGAGCCTAACCCATCTTATTTCAATAAAATCCCTTTTATTTCCATAGAGCAACTCAATCTGTCCCTCTCTCCTGAACAAAGTAAGTGGAAACCAAGATCTATTGAATCTTAATGTAGGCTGCAATTCTATGTGTACCTCCCATGGAATACATTTACTACCGAGTAGACCAAAGAAGCTGCAACTTTGAAATTAAAGGGGCTCAAGGGACATTTTTGCTTTTTAGAAAGTTAAGGCTACCCCTATACACTTACTTGGGCCTAAGCATAAAAAACTCACTGAACATACATTCAAATAAGCCTGCAAATCTCAAGCTTCACTGCTAAGCCTAACTCTTCGATTAAGCCATATCAAATAACTTACTTCAGTGCAATCATTAAATAAAATACAAGGCTTCTCATTTATGAATAACCTGGCTGTTGCACCTTTAAGAGACTTGAGCATTTGATAAATGCCATTAAATATTACCCTTAAAAATGAATGAAGGACTCAATCATCTTCAAAGTACAAAGCAGTAATCAGTTGTAACAATCAGTGCAAAACCTTTATTGTATCATAGTAACTTCAAATGTTGTGAAACAGTTTTCTACAATCTTGAGTTTTTCTTCAGAGAGCAGATTTTCCTGCTTCAGTTTGGCGATAAGCGCTTCTAAGGATTTGAGCCTGTTTAAGGTTTTTCTCTCCTGGATTTCTAAAAGTGCTATTTTGGAGTGCAGCTTTGTAATTTTCTGCCAGAGTTGTTCCCTGTCAGAGTCTTGCCTACAATATGAATGCTCAGTCTGCAGAACATCAATTCCACTGTAACTGGCAATACATGCAGATGTTTCGGTTCCTATGTTTATTAATTCCTGTTCTGCTGGTAGAAATGAACCCTCTAACAGCAAGGGAGTTCTTGAACCCTCAGAAGGAACTATAATGGTGATAACAGAATCTTTATTACCATTCAGCTGTTCTAAAGCTTGTGAAACAGTGTGGAGCAACACAGTGTTTTCATCAGTTTCTTGCAATTCCACTGAACAGCTTGCAATGGGAAAGTCCAGTTGATCAGATGGAAGGTCATTAATTGGTACAGTGATATTGTTTAATTCTGGAGATGAACCCAAGTGTTCAAGATGTGTCTGTGGAACTGTGACTTTGGATTCTGAAATGCGCTCAAGACATGAATGAAGATCATGAACTGAAGTTTGCAAAATTGTGGTTGTGCTACTGAAAATGTTATCTATAGAGTTATTAAAACTACAATTTTCTGGGGAGCTGTAATTGTGGGCTGTTGAATTCTGCACATCAGCTGGCATTATGACAGAGCTGGTTTGCTCCGTATTCTGTGTAACAGACTTAATTAGACAGGAAACATCATCTTCAACTTTCACTGTGTTCTTAAGCAATCCATTCTTTTCTGGAGACTTGCTTAAAGTTGTACAAAGTGCTTTTCTATATAGGCTTTCTTCAATGATATTTTTCTTTGGTGAAGCAAGTTTAAGAGATGCAGTTGCTACACTCATATCCCTTTGTTTGACATCTATTTTCTCTTGTTTTCTTTTCTGGGAAAATCCTTTTTCCTAAAGAAGAGAAAATATTGATTTTATTAAAGTTGTTACAACACATTGCATGGTGGTTCCCTCTCCTATACTGTATTACAGCATAATCCTATGCATGTTTTCTCAGATGCAAGTCCAACTGTGGTCAGTGAGGGCTTACTCCACAGTAAGTGAGCACAGGACTGCAACCTGAAATATTATTCCATAGTCCCACCATTCAAAATAAATTTGACGCTTGCACACCAGCCTTGTGCAGGTCTACAATCTTGTCCCTGACATCCTTGGACAGCTCTTTGGTCTTAGTGGCTACTTTGGAATCTGCTAGATTGATTGCTTCTGTCAACAGGTGTCTTTTGTACAGGTACTGTAATGAGCTGGGATTACAGGTAAGATCTCTCGCTTACAGCAGGTGCTTCTAATCACAGTTTGTTACATACAGTGAAGATACCAGGTAGCCTGACAGCTGGCTGGTTAATAGGGGATCAAATACTTATTTCACTCATTATAATGCACATTAATCTCTGACTTTTGTCTTCTGGGTTTCTGGGGGTTTTCCTGTTGTTATTCTGTCTCTCACAGCTACAATAAACCTACCATTAAAATTATGGATTGGTCATTTCTTCGTCAGAGGGCAAACGGGCAAATATCGCAGGGGATCAAATACTTTCCCCCCCCTCACTGTAAACCCAGAATAGAGGGACGCGGGTGGCGCTGTGGTCTAAACCACTGAGCCTAGGGCTTGCCGACCAGAAGGTTGGCAGTTCGAATCCCCACGACGGGGTGAGCTCCTGTTGTTTGGTCCCAGCTCCTGCCCACCTAGCAGTTTGAAAGCACATCAAAGTGCAAGTAGATAAATAGGTACCGCTCCGGCGGGAAGGTAAACGGCATTTCTGTGGGCTGCTCTGGTTCGCCAGAAGCAGCTTAGTCATGCTGGCTACACGACCTGAAAGCTTTCTGCGGACAAACGGCGGCTCCCTCGGCCTATAGAGCGAGATGAGCGGGCAATCCCAGAGTCGTCCGCGACCAGGGGTACCTTTGTTGAATGGTTTCTTTAAATGTAAAGGTTCATCACTGTTCCACCCGATGTGTATGTCTTTAAGGGGCCAAAGCAAGGGCCAGAGCAAGATAACGAGACCCAGCTTTACAGCTGTGAAACATAGCAGGTGCTGCCGAGTTGTACTGATTAAGCTGTGTTGGCAATTGGGTGTAGTATATAAGAAGCAGCACCTAGCTCTCCCATTACCCTGGGGGATGGGTTGGTGGTTGGGTCATGTTTGTTTGTTAATGTATTTAGTGTAAAAGGAGTTTTTGTTTTTCTTATTAAAACCTTGTTTAAATTATTTTTGAGTCCCTTTTTAATGCATGGTCTCCCCAGCAAGCTCTCTGCAGCGCTACCATACTGTAAATAGGCAACAACCTTTACCTTTTAAACTCAGAATGTTTGGGTATAACAGTACAAACCTTTCACAGAAGCCCATTTTGGTATATAGCAGTATAATTAGTTTTTATTATTATGTTTAGCAAAAAAAAAAAAAAAAAACCAAGTCCCATGATGTTCAGCAAAGCACCCTACACTATTGTTTTGGAGGGAAGAAGACACGGTATCTCCTTCCTCCCACCTAGTTCTTTGCAGGCATATGTTTACTTGGGGTTTAAAACCAATATTAAATGGTAGTCCTGCCCCCTAATCAATTCAGGGGCAGGTGGCCCGTGAGTTGGCATCATCCAGCAGTCTCAGAACAGAGCCAGAGGGTGGATCAAGAGGGTGCGGGTTGTGCCCATCCTTACTCTGTATTACACAGTTTGTTTCTAATTTGAAATTCTCTGTTTTACCTGATTAACAGATGATGAAAAAATAGTCGGCACTGCTGTCGTTTTCAAATATCGAATGCCCCATCGTACATCAAGAGAATCTGGCGTAAAATGGTCACTGCAGAGAACCTGGTGCTTGCTGGGAGTCCAAGTGTCGCGTTTCATATTCCGTAACCATTTCTCTAATCTTTCTTTATCATGAAGAGGAAATCTGCTTTAAAAGATTTTTACAAGAACAGTATGTTACGCTTCAAGTAAAATTCTTACCTGCAATCTTTTAGACTTTATGTGCAAAAGTATCCATTTAAGTTTCTTACAAAACATATTGTTACTAGAGATACTTCACAAGAACGAGAGCTCTGGATAAATTATGTGATTTTAATAATACATCAGCCAGCGACATAACACCACAATTCAGCCAGTGGCATTACATCACAATTCAAAATGCTAGCACCAACACATAAATCCTAAATGTCTTAGGATTTGGGTATCTCAAGGACTGCTTTTCCCAATGAAACTGCTGCTTCATTAAGATCTGCTTTGGAGCTCCCTCCATGGGTCCCTTCAGACAAGAGGCAGGTGATGATTGGAGACAGCTGAAAATCTTTAACTTCCCACGCTTTTAAGATCAATATCATAGACTCAAATGTTATTTATTTGTGCTGCTGCTATTTTGATAAACTTCACAACAGATATAGCTTGTTTGTGTAGGGAACTTCTCTGGAAACTTTGCTCTGAAGAGCAGGATGTCAAACAAATGCTAGGCATTCATATGGACACTGTGTGCATTCACAATAGTATCACACAGTATGCTGCTTGTAAAAAACATTGATTATATTTTCAAATGGGCTTACGTGGCCTTTTCACACAGCAACAGGTATAGTCCTCCAGACCTAGATCTTGGCTAGCAGGTCCTGCCTCTGTTTCCTCAATTAGGTCCAGACTACACTATGATGTTTCTCTGCTAGTTTGTACCTTGTTAACCAAGCTGCATGTAGCCCCCTTAGAGACACCATTCTTACTGGACCCTGCCACTCTTAAAATTGACTATCAGGCAAGCTGCAGAGAAGAGGATGAAATACATTACTTTTTGAAAACCTACCCTTTTTGAATGGATGTGTGTAAAGTGCCGAGTATTTATTTATTTTGGCCAATTTATTATAGCACTTAGAAACAATTGTAATTTAAGTAAATTGATACAATGCAGCATTGCACAGTAACGGGTGTGTGAAAGGTCATGTATTTAAGTGCCGAGTAGCCAAGCACAGACAGATTCACACTTGCATGTTACCGGTCTACCAGATATGCGCGCTTACACGAATCTGCCAAATGACTGCTACCCTTTCAACACAAACGTTTCAGTGGACTCCCACTTTCTCCATTCCTTTACTTCCCAGTTCATATTTACATATCGTCAGTGCTTTTTTCCCTAAACAAATGGGTACTCTCACTTTGACTCAAGAAAAACCATTTTATAGTCCAAATCAGGAAAAATAAATACAGTAAAAGGACAAAGATCCCCTAGATGTTCAGGGGCATGTGTACCCCTGTGTCCTCCCAGAAAAAAGCGCTGCATATCGTTAAGATTGCAATAAACCTCGGACCAGTTTACAAAAAACCCAACAACACCCCACACAATCCATTACAATTATCCATAAAAGACTATTAAAGGCAGATTAAAACACATTAACATCTACATGTCTCTGAACAAATTCCAGAGGGGGCTTCCTGTTGGGCTGCAATGGGTTGTAACGGATGTGGATTGCTCTGAAGTCAGTTTTTAGTGACAGCTGATCCATGGCCATTTGATGTACCTTTGGGGATATTAATTTGTTCATTATCCTAGAACAACTGTACTGTCTGCTGCTGTGCTCGGAGCACCTTATTGCGACTTTTGGAGCACCCATCATCTCACGTTTGTAGGATATTGACTGGAAAGGCATTTTGCCTCCATTTCAGTGATCTTTGACAGTGACTTACCGCTCCTACTATTCCTGTTCATGGAGCATTTATTTGATTCTTATTAGTTTGCGACTCCATGCACACATTATGTCTCCTGTTTATGAATTCTGAAACAGTATAGTGTTATAAAAATACTGTCAGTTTATTATTAGCCAACGTGTTGCTTGATGTTGTTCGGAGTGTTGTGTTCTGCAACACAGGGGATTTTCTTTGGTGTCGTTTCAGCAACAGCTGAAAAGGAAAAACCGCCTCGTATTTTGCCACAACCCACTCTCCTTCCCCTCCGCTTCATGACACCACCCACTTCCCAGCTCTGCTGGCGGGTCGGTGATCGCGCAGCCCGTCCCTTCAGCCTCCCCTTGGTACTCACGGGTAGAAGCTGAGCTTCCGCTGGTCCCGGGCGCTCTGCCCCGCTCGGTTCCGGCAACAGGTAGCAGCGCAGTACCGAGGCATTGCTCCCCTCCCCTCCCCCCGAGCCTCCCGGGTCCCAGCTTCGCAACAAAAAAAAAACAACGAGCGGCAGCCTCCCAACCCTCCTCTGGCTTCCGCTTCCGGAAGCTGCTTCCGGCTTCCGGCCCCTCGGCCCCGGAAGCCGGGCGCCGGCCAATCGCTGAGTCACCCCGAAGCGGAGCCACAACAGCCTCCTTCCACGTGCGCCGAAAGCGGGCGCGCCGCGTCAGCCGCCCGCGGGCGGCCAATCAGGGAGCGCTTCGTGGTGGTAGGAGCGGCCCCGCCCCTCCGTCCTGGCGACGCTCCTCTGGGCCGAGGCTATAAAAGGGGGAGGGCGGGAGGCGGGAAGGAGCGGTCCGGAGAAGGGGCAGCGGAGCGTCGAGGGGAGAGCGCCTGGGAGTGTGTATGTGGAGAGCCGGTGAGTGGGGCGGCGGCGACGCAGTGGGGAAGCGTTAGCTGTTGCTCCCGTGAAGGGGGATGGGGGACAAGAACCCCCTCTTGGCTCCTTTATAATCTCCCTTGCTCCCCTTTTAACCTCCCTCTTTACCCCACTTTTGCTTCCCTTTTAAACCCAGCTTTAACACTCCTTCCTACCCTTTTAACCCCCTTCCCCCTTCCTTTCGACTCCCTTTTAACCTTCTTTGCCCCCTTTTAATCTTCCTTTACCCCCCTTTTGCTTCCCTTTAAACCCCACTTTAACACTCCTTCCTCCCCATTTTAACCCCCTTTCCTCCATTTAATCTCCCTTTCCCCCACTTTTAAACAGCACTTTAACACACCTTCCTCCCCTTTTAAACCCCGCTTTAACTCTCCTTCCTCCCCTTTTCACCCCTGTCCCATTTTCACCTCCTTTCCTCCCCCCCCCCTTAACATCACTTTGCCCCATTTCATCTCCCCTCTGCTCCCTCAGAGGTGGAAAAAACCTAAATGGTTATGAGTTGGCGGGATGGGGGTTCCTTCCCTCCACCCACCAAGTCTCCATAGCTGTGAGATCGGTTGTTAAAGGTTAGGGAGGTTTTTTTATGCATCAGGAATGAGGCCTGTATAGTGTGTTCTATTTTTCTCCCCAAGTATGTCTTAGCCTCGCCCATCATCTCAAGTTCTTTTTAGGATGGCTAACAGGGTCAAAGGTTTTCCTTTCTCCCTCTCTCTCCCCTCCCTCCCTTTCCTCACAACAGCCCTGTGATGTAGATGGGGGGCAGAGAGAGAGAGAGGTCCACGGTCAGGGTCATGGCTGAGTTGAGCTTTGAGCTTGAGTTTTCATTAATGTATGCTTTGCATTTGTAAACCACCTGTTCCCATTTTATTCTCAAAACAACCCTGTGAGGTAGGTGTGGCTGAGAAGTGGTGACTGGTGGCCCAAGGCCACCCAGTAAGCTACATGGCTAAGTGGGGGATTTGAACCCTGGTCTCCTAGAGGGTCTTCTAGCTGTGCAAACCTCTATGGAATTTCCTGCTTCTTTAATTCTAATGTCGAAGGGTAAGAAAGATACCAGGCTGCAGTTAACATGGCGGTGGAGGGGGAGGAAAGTACTTCACTCATACTTGAAGGCATCTTCATCTATTGTGACATTGTGTAGGGTTGCCATGTTTCAATAAGTGAAAATTTGGACACAAACATTATTTTTTTTGAGTTTTAAGTTTTGCCCATAGTTGTTGAAAAATGATGTTTTTGAGCTATTTAGAAAAATTTACCAAAATCTTGACTTCTGACATGGATTGTCCGGATTTCCCCAGGCATTTCAGCGATTTCCACCTGGACACTGTTTGCAACTGCCATTTTCCAGCTATGTCCGGGAAATTCCGGGCGTGCGGCAACCCTAATGTGCAAACCAGATCCAAATTAAGCTGCAGTGGGCGAGGTGGTGATATGAACTAAGTGGGGGATGAGCTTGCTTATGCTGAGGGAGGAAAACTGTCATTAAAAAACACACCAGCTAGAAATAAGAAACCAGGAGAAAAGCTGGAGCTAGATCCTTTTGGAAGGAGGTGAGCTGTGTTCCAGCTACACTGCAAGCTAATAAGATAGATGTGAGTTTAAGTGCTTGCAATGGGTGGTGTTCCCGACTGCTATTTCTCTCCCTGTAATTATATCTGAATACAGGTTGCATTAGCTCAGCTGTGAGTACAAGGCATTCAGCATATGAATGCATCACCTAAAATAATTAAGATTTTAAACTGTCAATTTAAGTTACAAAGGAGAGGCTTGTCCTGAACTAGAGTTAAATTAAACTGGTTATCTTCACTCTTTTCAGTTCCAGGACACACTTTTAAGCCAAACATACATTTGGAGGCCCATACTTGCATGGTGGTAGTGCTCCTATTGTGATCCACCTTGGATCAGGCTGCAAACCCACTTGACACACTCATTGAAGACCAGTGGACTAAACCACGGTTCCCAGTCCTTGCATGTAGTATAGCTTGGAGAGGACGAGTGCGAAGTTCTAGCCTTGTAGCTTATGCCCAAGTCCTAGTACAGTGGTACCTCAGGTTAAGTACTTAATTTGTTCCGGAGGTCCGTACTTAACCTGGAGCACCACTTTAGCTAATGGGGTCTCCTGCTGCCGCGCCGCCAGAGCCAGATTTCTGTTCTCATCCTGAAGCAAAGTTCTTAACCTGAAGCACTATTTCTGGGTTAGCGGAGTCTGTAACCTGAAACATATGTAACCTGAGGTACCACTGTACAGGTGTGGGGAATCTTTTGCTGAACTACAACTCCCATCAGTCCTTGCAAGAATGGCTGTTGGCTAGGGACTATAGGAGTTGTAGTTCAGCAACATCTGGAAAGCCAAAGGTTCCCCACAGTTGCTCTCATTCAAACAAACCACAATTAAACCTTGGTTTGATCTCCTTAACTAGAGTTAGACTGGTTTGTATGACACAGTAAGCCAAAATATGCCGTACCATGAACATGTGGTCTCCAGGAGAGGTTTGGTTTGTTCCTCCCTAGTTGTTATTTTTAATCCTGCACTGTAGTTAGTTAACACCTTTATTTGCTAACTATCAGCTGTAGCCAAGGTGCATCCATGCAGTCCTGGTAAGCCATAGTTTGGTTTCCCATGTTGTTACAAACCAGGCCAATACAGCTTAGTAAAAAGTGAAAGCAGAAGCTCCTCCCCATCCCACCTCACACAAAAGGAATTTTCCGCTGCTTGTTGATAATTAAAATTGTGGTGTCTATTGTCTTAATTGTGCCAATACATTTTCCCCCTGACTTCCAGTTCTCAGACAAGATAGTTAGCAGTTCTTTCTAGCTTACCCTGAAGGTTATTGAGCCTTTACCTGAACCTGGCCACACCATAATCTGAATTATTCTCATAATATTATGCCCAAACCCTTCACTTCTTATTCCCATCAGTGTTTCTGTCTCATCACTACTTACGATACAGTAATCTTTACTATACAATATCTTTACTATACGATAATCTTTATTGTCATTGTCCCATACAGAACAACGAAATTGAAAAATTCTACATCAGACATTCAGAAACCAACAAGCCAGCTATCCCAGCCTGGTTAACCCCCTAAAAACTCTGATACCCAATAATAAAATAAAATAAATAAATAAATAAATAAAATATACTCCCACAGAGACTACCTTACACTGCGTTTAAAACCAAAATCGCATTTGGATAGAAACTTAGCTTTATGAAGCAGAAGCAAACTGGGATGTTGTGTAGTTACTATTATTTCTATTTTATTAATTATAAAATTTGTATACCACCATATACCCACAGATCCCAGGGTGGTTCACAGAATAAAACCATGATATAAAAACACAGAATACATAATCAAAATAGAAAGAACAATTGTTACTTTCATTTTTATATTGAACAGCACAATTTAGTTTTGAAAGCAAAGTACAGTGGTACCTCGGGCTACATACGCTTCAGGTTACATATGTTTCAGGTTACAGACTCCGCTAACCCAGAAATAGTACCTCGGGTTAAGAACTTTACTTCAGGATGAGAACAGAAATCGTGCTCCAGCGGCACGGCAGCAGCTGGAGGCCCCATTAGCTAAAGTGGTGCTTCAGGTTAAGAACAGTTTCAGGTTAAATACAGACCTCCGGAACGAATTAAGTACTTAACCTGAGGTACTGCTATACTGAGATATAGCTTTATTATTTCATTTCTCTGTATGTATATGTTTAGAGCTTGTCCCTAAACAACCCTAGAGAGCCTTGCTAGAAGGAAGGAGGGGCAAGATGAAAATGGAGGAAGGAGGGTTTGGGAGAATGTGACATATGTAAGAGTGTAGATAAAGAACAACTTGTTTGTGTCCAAGTCTTGCCTGCTGTGGTCTCATTACCAGGAATAAGATGCAAAACAGGCATGTATAGACATGTATAATAATTTGCATATGTATCAAAAACGGTATTAGTGTACACATTGAAATTGTAATTGCCCATGTTAGGAAGTGATAAATGTCAGTATGAGTGTTGACAACTGTAGGGAACAGAATTTTCAATTGGGAATTGGTAGTTATGAAGTGCATTTCTGCATTATCAATTTTATTTATTTATTATTATAGCCTGCAATATCCCATGGGCTCAGAGTAGCTCATAGCCATTTCATCAGCATCTATCTTTGTCCCCAAAGGGCTTGAAGTAAGCATTAGGTTTTGATGGCTGAGGAAACAAAGGCAGTCACACTAAGAATAATACATTGCTTCCACTTACGATCACTGTTGCTCCCCTTGCCCTAAAATAAAAAAGCTTGCACTTATTTCCATTCACTGCCACCTCTCCATTCTCATGCCAAAAATATACAGCTAAATGTGCGGGGGAGGGGGGAGACCTGTTGAACTGCCCCCACTCCTGCAGTTCTTTTTAAGGGATGTATTTAGTCTTTAGCAATCCTGTTGTGAAAAGGGAAGGGCCGAAGTATAGGTGACTTGCAGCTTACACACATTTAACTTGTGCACGTTAAGGGCCTCCAGGAAAAAAAGACTTTGGGAATCCCCCCCCCAACGTAAACCCAACGTATGTTGAGAGTCGCCTGCAAACACAGCAGGTGGAAGGAATGCTACAATTTATTTTGATTGCTTTTATTTTGCACAGGTCAGGCAGTGTTTTTGCAACAAAGGAGAAGCCTGATTATAAAGCCAACCTCTGCAAAATGGCCCAAGCTTTATCCATTGCTTCTGACATTACTGAAAAAATAACAAGGTAACACCAGGTTACCTTAGTGTACAGATACACAGACATGCACATTTGCCCTTTCTTGGGTGGTTTTAGTCATTACAAATGTGAGTAGGCATCTTTAGAAATGTGTGCATGCATATTGTGTATTTCTGCACATATGCACACACACAGTTCAGAAACTGTAAACCTTATAAGGTCACCTAATGTTTCCTTGATACTGCTGATGTTTTTGAAAATTTAATATTTGTAGGGAGACATTTTAAGCAGGCCTGAAAAGATAAGCCTCCCAACATGGACTAATTCAGCATTGCCCTGCTGTGGTTCTTGTTGATGATTGTAGATCTTTAACGGCAGAAATTTGAGAATAGATCCTAAACCCTTGTTTGGTGGAAACCATAAATACATATAGAAATGTGGCTCTGATCCAAGCAAAGTGAAGTACTTACCTCTCTTTGATTCCAATAGCAGCAATCTAAGGGAAGCATTCAGAGGCACGCTCTTCTGATTATTCCACTGGTGCAAGTGTTTTGGCTTGCCTGATGAAATGATTCCTTCTCCTTCCACCACAGGATATTCCAGGGTTTCTGGTGACACACCCCAAACCAATTTGGGGGGCAAAGGAGGGGGGACCTCCATTGTGGAAGTTGTTGCATAGGGTTTCCACTGGTGGGACGCATTCATTTAATCCTACCATAAGCATTTGGCATAATATTTAAATAATGTGTGTACAGTGGAACCCTGGGTTGTGAACATGATCTGTGCAGGAGGCACATTCGCAACCCGCAGCGCTGCGTCTGCGCACACACGTGTCGCGATGAGGTGATTCTGTGCCATGCGCAAAGCGTCGAAACCCAGAAGTAACCCATTCTGTTACTTCCGGGTTTGGCGTGGTGCGCAACCCAGAAACATATAACCTGAAGCGTCTGTAACCCGAGGTACCACTGTATATTAAAAACTGTTAAAAAAAATAGACTGCACAGTTTAAACCTTTTGTGTGATATTCAGTATTTGAAGTAGATTCATTGAAAGCAATGGACTCCAAGTAATTTGTTTTCCCTGGGTCTATTTTGAATATAACTTAGGTTTACATCACACCTTGCTCGGAAAATGCCTTAAAAAATAATGATCAATCTTTTAGTAGCTAGGGTAAGTATAAATTATTCTGAAGGAAGACTACTAATATCCACAATGAAAGGAAATATATTAGCTGCAGCTGTGAACTGTTACATGCCTGAGAAGTTGGTGCAAAAGTAAAAATATTCAAAATTACTTTCCTTAAAAAAAGGTAAATAATTCACTAGTGAGATGCTTTGTTGCCAAAGGCTAATCATGTTGTTTTCCCCCACAGGAATATTGCAATGGCTACCACACAGGCTGTCTTTATATTTGCACTCTGCATTTTAATGATAACAGAATTAATCCTGGCTGCTGAGAGTTATTACGACATCCTAGGTGTTCCCAAGACTGCATCTGATCGCCAAATCAAGAAGGCGTTTCACAAACTAGCAATGAAATACCACCCAGACAAAAATAAGAGTCCTGGAGCGGAAGCAAAATTCAGGGAAATTGCAGAAGGCAAGTAGAATCCTATTCTGTTTTACTAAACACTCATTGACCTGGTATTTCTTGATCTCCACTTGGCATGGAGATGAGTAAAGCTAGATATATTTCGTTGAATCCAACTAAATCATTGCACACGGGGAACAATAGAACTTTCTATCCCTCCCATCCACTGCCTCTAAATTTGCTCTGGAAGACTGCTTCCTGGGGAGAAAAGATAGAGAAATGCTGTTGCGCTCACAGAAGTCACTCTGCATGTGCACTGATTTAGTAGGATGCAAACATTTAATCCTGCTTTGGGTAAAAAAAGAGAAAACTTGCATTTTTCAAAAAGTAATGAAACTTATCTGCTTGTGTAGGAGTCCTGTGTATTCCTTGGAGCACAAAAGGAACTAGTACTTAGTACTAGAAGAATCTTAATTTTATATTCCAGGGATTAAAGAGTCATCTGGCCATAATAACCCTTTTAGCTATCTTTGGAAACTGTTGCACACAGGCACAACTTTATTTATTGTAAATATTTATACTCTGACTTCTAGGAGAGTGTAGTTTCCAGCAACTACACCTCCTAAATTGTAACTAAAAATAGTTACAATTGAAACGCAAATTGAACTAATAGGCGGTTTTTTGTTTCACTTAATTTCTATCTTCTGCTGGCGTGAGACAAATCCAGGGAGACTTTAGCATAAAAGATCCAGAGAGGCTCAAAAACATATGTTTAAAAAAAGTTTTATGTGATCCTTGATAAAACAGAATTTGCAAGTGGATTAAAAAAAAATAAGTTGTTGCAGAGCACTTAGGGAGGCTCTTCTACGGGCCCTGTATCTTTGCAGGCCATTCTGTGCATGCCCCCTCAGAAGTAAGTCCCACTGAGTTCAGGGATGCTTACTCTCACATAGGTATGTGTAAAACAGTTCGCCCAAGTCATGTCCTTGGCTGAGGTGTTGACATTTTGACAGAATTCTAAATTCAAAAGAATGAGGAACTGATCTGGAAAGGTTCGGTGGTAGAACACATGCTTTGTTTGCAAGAAGTCTTGGGTTCCATCTTCATAAGTCTGGGACCTAGGACTGCTTGTTAGTGTATTGAGCTATATGGCTCAGTTGTCTGACTTTGTGGAGTGTGTTCTGTGTGTGTTCTGTGTATCTGTGACCTAGTATCATCAACAGTGATGTAACAGTTCTCCAGCATTTTGAAAGCTCAAAAACTTCCTCAGTTCTTTTACACGAGAACCTTGAACTTGAAGTGGCCAGGAGCTGAATGAATATATGTTATGCATGCAGAGTATATTCACTTCTACTGAGCGAAAACTGTTCTCTGTCTGAGCATGTGCTAAACTTTCTCTTGCATTGCTCTTTAACAGCATATGAAACGTTGTCGGATGAAAACAAACGTAGGGAATACGACCAGTTTGGCCATGCTGAAGGACGAAGAAGCAATGGAAACACTTTCCAGCAGCCTTTTAACTTCAATTTTGATGACTTGTTTAAAGACTTTGACTTCTTTGGCCAACACCACAACACACAGTCGAAGAAACATTTCGAAAGTCATTTTCGGAGCCATCAGCATGCTCACAGCAGGCAAAGACGTTCTTTCCCAGAATTTTCCTTCGGAGGGGGACTGTTTGATGACATGTTTGAAGATATGGAAAAAATGTTTTCATTTAATGGGTTTGAGAACACACACCGACACACAATGCAGACTGAAAATAAATTCCATGGATCTAGTAAGCACTGCAGAACTGTCACACAGCGTCGAGGAAACATGGTTACTACATTCACAGACTGTTCTGGACAATAATACCTGGGCGTTTCTTCTCTGCCCCGCCCTTAAGGATTTTCTTTCTTTCTATCCTTTGCTGCTGAAATACAGAAGTTCTTCTGTGAACTGTGTGAGATTTATTGTTTAATCAGAGTACTTTAACTGCTGAAATAAGCTGTAGCTAAACTGATAACTATTACCCAGAACTGCAACAAAGCAAGATGAGACGATGTTGACCTTATTTAATTGGTTACATAGAATGTGCATGTGGGGGAAAATCTCCATATGACAGTGTTAGGGTCTATTTTTAATAACATAGAAGCAGGTTAACAGATTACCTCACTAGTGCCGAGTTAGTGGTACAATAAACATTATTATTGTCAGATTTCTATTTCTATAAAGTGTTATCCTGTTGCGTGATTGTTTGATCTTATGTTTTTAATTAGTTTGCCTACTCCAAACCTGAGTTATTAGTAGTCGCTTTAAAATACCATGAAACATTAAATTTGACTTTTTTAGGTGACGTGTGACAAGTGTTGAGCAAAATTGACCTTGCAGCTCTTATTGTTAGGCCCTGAGCATAGAAAGTTGGGAAGCATTAGCAGCGACGATCATGGCCAGCATCTGAGGTTGGCTTTGTCACTGTTAGTCAGTTGTGAGTTTCATTGAATTGCCTCAGTACTAGTGTAACAAACTACTGTTTTACCTGTACCGCATAAAACAGAACACTTGACTTGTCTCTTTTTTTAACCTAGTGCGTATGTTACTATGAAAGGCCGGGGGGGGGGGGAATCTTTCTCTTGTTGTCATGACTTAAAGGCTGAGGTATAGCTACCCCTTCCTTATAGAGGCCTTTAATGTGTGTTTCTATGTATGTATATTATTTCCCCCTTTTGCCTTCAGCCAACAAAGTCGAGTTAGTTCCATATTTACGTATTGCTTCACGCATCCAAGGGCACTCCAAAGCAATTTACCATAATAAAATACAGTAGCCATAAGAAATACAGTGGTACCTCGGGTTACATTCGCTTCAGGTTACAGACTCCGCTAACCCGGAAATATTACCTCAGGTTAAGTACTTTGCTTCAGGATGAGAACAGAAATCTTGCTCCGGCGGCAGCAGCAGGAGGCCCCATTAGCTAAAGTGGTGTTTCAGGTTAAGAACGGACATCTGGAACGAATTAAGTACTTCACCCGAGGTACCACTGTATACCAAAACAGCACAAGTGTAAAATGTTAAGTGCTCATCAAAAGGAAATCACTTAAACATTGCTGGGAGAATAAAGCCATATTTGCCCTTGGTGTCAGAAACTTGACAAGTTGCACCAGACCAGTTTGAGAGCATTTTATAAATGGGCCCACCAACAGAAATGGGCCACTCTCTCGTTACCACCCTCAGAACATTACGTAATTGGAAGGGAACACACAGAAGGACCTCACGTGTTGATGTGCCATAATCTGTTGACCTGAGGAAAGAGGGTTCATGATGCATTATAGGTTGAAACTAGCACTTTGAATTGGGCTCAGAAATACATTGGCAGAACTAGAATTTTATATTCAGATCTCCACCTCCTGTTCAGTAGTCTGGCTACTGTGTTTTGTAATGGCAGCAGGAAGTTTTGGTATACCCACCATTGGCACTCCTCCATATCATGCCCCCATGGTGAGCCTGCTAAATAATTGTTACTACATTGAGTTGGATAGGTACCATTGCATATACAATTCAATGGGGAAAGCTTCTGTATCTCCTCACTTCAGTGCAAAATGCAATATTCTTCAGCAGCCAATGGCATGCATTCAGTTTCTGAATTATGTGCAGAGGTACCAAGAGATGTACAGAAGTGATGGAAGTGCACAAGCAACCTTTGAATATAGACCCATGAGTTGTGTAGGTACTGGAGTTGTGGATGTCTTTAGTGAGGACCACCCTGTGTAAAAAGTGAAAAGCTGCTTAAAAGTTTCAGCTCATGCAGTAAGCAATGGTCTTCAGCTGGTGGGTCATGATCTCATCCAAGGTGGGTCACAACAGGAGCACCACCGCCACCATGCAAATATATGGCAAAAGATTCAGAAAGGGTCCCCATGTTTGGGTTAATAGTGGGTCTTGGATCTGAAAAGGTTGACGATACCTGCATTGGAGAACTTAGCTAGGAAAATAGGTTCACTGTAACAATGGCAATGGGTATAAATCAATATTCCAGAAGTTCTGTAAAAGTACACACCCTTATGTTTGGTATCAACTTGATTCTTGCACTCGGAGTTGAAGACAAAGCATGCAGTATTTATAATTAACACATTTTGTCAGCAATTGCATTTAATGTTGCTTTCATTTGTTTATGTTCTGCACTAATATTTTTAAACTCGAAACATAGACGTGAGTATGCAGCAACAACCAGAAGCGAATGAGGTGAGGCAAAGCTGTCCACCAGGGTTACTCCTATTTCCCTGGACAAGGCAGTGGTGAGTTTGGGATTGTGTGAATGCCCCAGTAGAGGCTTTCTAGCAAACCTTCTTGTGCACCTGCACAGGTAAGCTGCAGTGACCCATGGCAAGAAGGTAGCTCTGCCTCACCACACTGGCCACTACTTGCAATAGTGGAATGGGACACAGTGCCTTGCGAGTACTTAACAGGTGAACATGTTTTTAACTTAATAGAGAGTTCTACTGTGAGCCTCTTGCCAGAGTGGATATTCCTTATGCAGCCAACCACTTGTTAAAGGACCAGTTACTGCGAGACTACCTCCCTAGTGGTCTTGGGTGGGCATTTATGAAACATGTATTCAGCAGAGGAAGAGAGCTTAAGTGCTCAGCTTAAGTAGCTTAAACAGCTGCCTGCATGCTTTAACATAAACTGGGTGGACAAAGGAGTGTGTGTAGGCACACACCCATGGTCTTCCACCGGAGCGCAATTCTGGGTGTCTAGAACAAGTTGTAGCCACCTTGTCTTAAATACATGTCACTGAAACACAGCAAGCCTCTGCAAGTCCCTTACATGGATCATGCCACTCGGTAATTCGTTCCTGCTGCAACTATCACACAGGTTTACAGGCAAAGACATAAAAGGCCAAGAGTAACGTACTTAAAATTACAATCTTGAGAGTTGAGGAAATGTTTGGATTTCCCAGCCCAACCCTTCAGAGATTCTTATTAGAATCGAGGAAAAATAGTTGCATTAAACATAGGGTCTGGACAGCTCCCCTGTGGTCAGCTTTTCATTCTGTGATAGTATAAATCTTTCAGTATAGGGGTTTTCTTTTGTTTTCTCTTAGAATGCCATAGCATTAAGAATAATGAATACCCACACTTCCCTTTTCTTTCCCTGTTCTCTGCAGCAGCAAATGAGGTAGAATAAAGTGGATCGCATCCATGAAGCTATGTGCATCTTTGCACTAGTTTTGTGTGTTTTTTAAAGGCTTCTTCTCTCCACTCCCTCTTTTGCTCCTTTTCTATTTGGAAAACAACATCCAAGCAACAACAGAATATGAATATTAATTTTCTAGCTTCTTGCCCCTTAGACTTTCAATTATTGTTCTGTTACAATTGCTTAATTGGTAGTCCATGGGGAGAGAGAAAAAAACCACCCTAAGATTCGTTAACTAATTATAGAATTGAGGGCATTCTCCGTGTGATTTTAAATTAAAATGCTGAGCTTCTGAGGTCTAGGCAAAGACAAAGCGAGCTATTTAATTGCATGTAATAATTTTCATCTAAGAATGCAGTTTTGTGCCACCGTGCTTGTGGCTTGGAAATAATCGTAGTGATGTTCCTCCTCAAAACACTTCACTATATAGAGAGAGAATTGGTTTTTAGTAGCTAAGAGCTTCAAGTATTCCTAACAAAAGACAAAAAAAATACTCATACTAGAGAATTTCAGTTCTGCTTGATCCAAGAGGTTTTTTTGCAGGTGCTCAACATATAAGGAAAGGTACATTTCTGATACGCACAACTTTATACATGCCTTGCTGCATATGTTGATGTTCAGTTATGAAACATTTGTTTTTATGTAAACCACTTAAAGATTTTAACTATATTGCTCGGCATGGATTGATAGAGTGAATGAAGGCTTAAAGGGCTTTTTAATAGATTACAGAAATGAATAGCTTTTTAAGTAAATGCCTAATACGTAAAGGAGATGGGTTTGGAGTGGAATGAGATGATGAAAACTGAAGTTAGACCTTTCAATTGAGAAGAGAGAATTTTGAGAGAACAGTTTGTCATGCATGCATAATGAAAAATTCCCCTGCAGAAATTCCCTCTCTGAGCCAGTTATTAAGATTCAGGAGCTATGTCCTCCTGTATATAGTCCCCTGGAATGATGGGAGAACATGGCCTTTTAAATTGTCACTGAAGAAGTCTGAATTTCTGATAAATCTTAAACCTGCCTTTGTTACCTGTGTCTCTTCCTTCAGACAGGCACCATCAGCATGATACCACAATGGCCAGTCTCCCTCCTTTAAACTGGCAGCATCCACAGGAGAGCATAATGATGTTTCAAGGCAGGCAGATTCATCACCTCTTTTGCTGAAGCCAGATAGCAGCAGCAACACGTGGACAAAAGTCTCTATCAACACAATGATACCAGCGGAAATCGGAGTGTGTGACACAGTATTTTCCTCAATGAGGTGAGCCTATACAGGAGCAGGCGATCACAACATCGGGGGTGGAGTGCTCACGCATATAGTATGTCAAGTGGCTTACAAGTGTCTCTCTCGCTGCAAGGGAGATCAGCTCTCCAGCTATTACACAGCTTGGACAGCGATTACCCCAGGGTAGATGGTCGCAAGAGGAAGTAAACATAGTGGAGGCAGGCAGAGGACTGCTAACACCTCTTGAGATACAACAGAGCAAAAACTTGCAGATTGAAGCTGTTTGCCGTTTGAGAGACTGATGGGCAGAAGAACAGCAGGAACTGGCAGAACATAGGGACAATCTAGGTTTAAAGACACCTTAACTTTGTGGCAGACAAATCAAGAGCCAGCTCTCACCCCATGTCCCTCACATTCAGAGGAAGCTGGTCCATGAGGGCACTGCTCACCAATCTGTGTGCCCTTAGCTGGTCCCCACTTGACTGCCTTCTTTCTTACAACCAGTCAAGGGGTGAGTCTGTCTGTCATTGGCTGTGACGGTTGGTCTCCTTGCCTACTGATCTACCTCCTCCTCCTTCAGCGATCACTCGTAGCCGAGTAAGATTGTCTTCTATGAACGCAGTCATAGCAGTGTGTCCATAAATGACTATGGAGGCCAATTCTGGATCCACGCATCCTTCCACAGGGTGGCCATAGGTATCTGAGTGGGAATTGATCACAGTTATGATTTGCCAAATGTGCCTTCCCCTTAGCTCATTTTCCCCATTCGCCCTGAGATTGTGCTTCTTCAAAGTCCATGATGCCTTTAAAGGTAAAGGGACCCCTGACCATTAGGTCCAGTCGTGGCCGACTCTGGGGTTGCTGCGCTCATCTTGCTTTATTGACCAAGGGAGCTGGCATACAGCTTCCGGGTCATGTGGCCAGCATGACTAAGCCGCTTCTGGTGAACCAGAGCAGCGCACGGAAATGCCGTTTACCTTCCCACTGGAGCGGTACCTATTTATCTACTTGCACTTTGACGTGCTTTTGAACTGCTAGGTTGGCAGGAGCAGGGACCGAGCAACGGGAGCTCATGCCATTGCGGGGATTCGAACCACTGACCTTCTGATTGGCAAGTCCTAGGCTCTGTGGTTTAACCCACAGTGCCACCCGCATCCCAATCATGCCTTTGGTAGAAACTATTCTCCAACTTGCGCACGCCCCAGAGGGCACCAGCCACCACAGCTGACATATTCCCAGGGTCACAATTTCTAACCTCATAAAAGTCAACAAATACGATTAGGTGCACTTTGTTTTCTTTAATATGCCCATGGCAACTTGGTTGCAAAGCCACTGGTCAGAGAGAACTTCATATCCAGAGATGATGATGGATTCAATGTGACCAGTCAGTTCCCTCTCACCTATATGCATATATGTATATTGTGAAGGTTAAGAATGGGGCATCCTGAAACTAGGGCTAAGAAAAGATATCCCCCCCCCCCAAAAAAAGTGATTCCATTTACAAACAATGGATTTAGATGCAGGGTTTGGGGACTGTTAATCTGGTGGTTAAAGGTAAAGGGACCCCTGACCGTTAGGTCCAGTCGCGGACGACTCTGGGGTTGCGGCGCTCATCTCGCTTTACTGGTCAAGGGAGTCGGCGTACAGCTTCTGGGTCATGTGGCTAGCATGACTAAGTTGCTTTTGGCAAACCAGAGCAGCACATGGAAAAGCCATTTACCTTCCCACTGGAGCGGTACCTATTTATCTACTTGCACTGCATGCTTTCAAACTGCTAAGTTAGCAGGAGCAGGGACTGAGCAATGGGAGCTCACCCCGTCACAGGGATTTGAACCGCCGACCTTCTGATCGGCAAGCCCTAGGCTCTGTGGTTTAACCCATAGTGCCACCAGCGTGACAAATATTCCTCCTCTCTCTGCTTCTTTTAACTGCTCCTGTCAAAGGTCTGCAACCGCTTGTGATGATGCCCAAAAGTGTTTATGCAAAAATATAAATAAATTAAGAGGCAGGGGGAATAGTGCTGATGTTAGCACCATATAGTCCTACCCCAAATCCATCCCTTCTGGTTTGTGACAGTTGAAAGGGACAACGGTGGCACTGTGGTCTAAACCACTGAGCCTGTTGGCCTTGCCGATCAGAAGGTTGAAGGTTCAAATCCTCATGACGGGCTGAGCTCCCATTGCTCTGTCCCAGCTCCTGCCAACCTAGCAGTTTGAAAGCATATCAGTGCAAGTAGATAAATAGGTACTGCTGTGACGGAAAGGTAAACGGTGTTTCCGTGCGCTCTGGTTTCCATCACAGTGTCTCATTGTGCCAGAAGCGGTTTAATCATGCTGGCCACATGACCCGGAAAGCTGTCTGTGGAGAAATGCCAGCTTCCTGGGCCTGAAAGCGAGATGAGTGCCGCAACCCCGTAGTCACCTTTGACTGGACTTAACCGTCCAGGGGTCCTTTACCCTTCTTTTTTTTACCTTTTATGACAGTTGCCTCCTGTGTGTCTTGATTGTTGCACGTGTCTACACAATAAGTGCAGTACTTTGCGTAAAACACAGGTCATTCCAGTTCTGTATGGACGGGCAATGGTGTGAAAATATTAAATCTGCAAGTGTCCAATCCGCTTTCAGTATTGAGCTTTGCACTGCGGAGATTCAAGGTTATAGGAAATGCTAATATCTTCTTGGTTGAGTTGCAAGTTGTCAGTATGCATGAAGTGTGGGAAACTTTAGGATAAGCAATTTCTTTAATAACAGCATTAGGCTGTCATTCAGAGCCGCAGTGGGAATGCAAAAGTCTTCAGTGAATTATTGGGATGTCAGCAGCACACTGTTTCGATGGAAAGGAGGGGAACAGGCCACCCAATTCAATGCACGCCTCTGTGTTTAATGTGAAGGGCATTTTTAGACCTAATGGGCAACTGATAAAGTGATTTGTGTAACGAACTCTGGCATTAGCAGCAGCACTGCTGTGCCCATTTCTGTTTCATCACTGTCAATGCTGATGGGAGCATCGGTGCAACTCGCATATGTGAAAATATCAGATTTACTGAACGCCTTCAGAATTGCTCTAATTGCCTTCCTTGCACCCCTTATGAACACAGATGAGGCAATTGGTCTTAGGTGTGGAGGGCAGACTGAAATAGGAAACCTTGTGCTTAGATTGCATATTTTTTATTTTTGAAAAGTGAGCAGTACAGGCTTTCTAACTACTGTGCACTAAATTGTTTCTATTTCCAGGAAGATGGTTGTAACAGTAATACAAGAGTCCACACAATCACTAGGTTGTGTCATATGAATTTCAGAAATTCCTCTTTTCTTTATGGAGGAGTAAGTCAGTGTCATTCATCTGCCCTCCCACAGAAGAGTGGTTAAACCAACTGAACATGTGCGATGGAGTCACAGAAAGTGAGGTAATTGTGACATCTTCTTGCTCTTGTTTCTTGCTTGATTATAAATATGAGTACTTGTTATCTATGTGGCTTGAGTGCTTAGTATGTGTATCACAGCAGGGGATAGAGTAATTTGTAGTAGGTTGGCAAGGATATTTGACTTCAAACTGCTTAACAATAGCAGCAATCCAATACCCCCGGAAGCGTAGGTGGGTTCCCACAAGGCAAGACACAGTGATAACAGTAAGAAACTTTGTGGAACTAACAGAACTGGACAACAGGGGCAAAGCAACTGCTTATATACATTTCTGAAAGCCTGGGCCACTCCCACTCCCAACGTGATTGGTTGTCTAAATTTCCAAGCTGCGAATCACGACTCAGAGTTCAAGGGCCAGTGGCAGAGGCTCAAATCCTGAAATGTTCTGTGATTGGATATCATGTATCAAATCAGAACACAGGGGCTCAGAATCCATATTAGTCCAGACACAAGCACAAGCAAACACAGACTACTGAATACATACCACCCCCTCCACGTTAAATTATATTGCTGAAATAAAAAAGGTTTGGTGGTATGCGGGTGTGGCCTTTTGCATAGAAGGACATTGTGTTCCAACAATTCTGGTACTCATAACAAACTCCTGGGCTCATAATTCTTTTAATTCTAAGTGCAACCGCTGGCTCCAGTAAGCTCTGGGCTCCTGGGCTTCTAGTAAGAACAAAGTTGACATTGTAAGTCTAATGTCTGCCCATTCCCATTCTGTAGTAACTCAAATACCTATATATGCACTTGAACCTTCCAGAACCATAAGGAGAAGATTCTTGGACAGCAAACATGAAGGGAAATGCTAGACTTAGGTCTAGGTTCCACAAGGCATCAAAAAGCAATCCTAAGCAGTATAGCTGCTGACTAATCAATCAATGTGAAGGAATAAATGAAGTCAAGGTAAATGAAGTCATGTATTTTTATAAGATATAACTATGAAAGGATTTTCAAACTTTTACAGAGAATAAGCCTATGGTCTCCAGACTATACAGGAATTTCAAAACAATCTGATGTGACTTCACAGCACCGGGTATCACGCCAATGTATTCTAAAATATGTAGCTGTGCTGACTATAGACGCATCTTTCCAAGGCTGATGAATTTCTGCACAACTCGCAACATCCCTCTCTCCTCCATCCAGACCATCAAGAGGCATTGTTAAGAGTTAAATGACACAGTGCTGCCAGGCAAAAGCACTTGGGGGGGGGGAGGCAAACAGCGGTTGTTGAGGCGTATGACCTACCTTGAGGGGGTGTGTGGGTGTGTTTAAAAACAAAGAAAACAGCAATATACAAAAGTTAATATCAAATACCAAGGATTTTTCAAAAGTAAAAACTAAAATAGAGAGAAAAAAGGCTTCTGATTCTCCATCTAATAATAATAATCATAATAATAATCATAACAATAATAATTTTTATTTATACCCCGCCCTCCCCAGCCAAGGCCGGGCTCAGGGCGGCTAACAAGCAATAATAATAACAAGTTGAATGAATACAACTTAAAAACAAGATTAAAATACCACATTAAAATATTGAAACAATAAAATATTAAAAAGCAGCCTCATCACAGGAGGAGAAAGGAAAAAGAAAAAAGAAAGAGGGGGAGGGAATCAAATTGGCTCCAAACCAAAGGCCTATCAGTTTTATAGACTTCTGCAAAACCCTTGTTCTATAACAGCATCCAACTCTTTTACTTTCCATAAACCAACCTTTCCTCAATCTTCAAATCGAGATATTACAAGCTCATTTCCTTCTTTGCGCAACAAGTCTATAAGGGGTTTCCAGTCATTAATAAATGTCAACAATGATTTTTCTCTAATTAAACACGTCCACTTTGCCGTCTCAGACAAATCCATTAATCTCAATAACTATTCTTCCATAGTCGGTAATAATAAGTCCTTCCTTCTTGGTGCATATAACAATCTTGCCACAGTGATCATGTAGTGAAATAATTTTCCATACTCTCTTTCTGGTTGTATACAGGTAAAACTCGAAAAATTAGAATACCGTGGAAAAGTTCATTTATATCAATAATTCAACTTAAAAGGAGAAACTAATATATGAGATAGACTCATGACATGCAAAGCGAGATAGGTCAAGACTTTATTTGTTATAATTGTGATTATTATGGCGTATTATGACGTATGTATCCAATATTTTAAAGCTTTTTTTACAAGTCCACCAAACATGATAAAATATAGCTTCTTTACACTTGACACTTCCGACAAACATTTGAAACATTTTTATACACTCGATAAGTAACTTTTGATACCAAGAACTTACATACCAATGATACATTGTTTTGTAAAAATTCTCTTTTAAACACAGGATTTATTTTAACCCTTTTGTCCATATATGTTACCACTGTTCCATCTGTACATTATAACCATAAATATTTTTTCCCATTCCTGGGGGGAGAAGTTCATATTTAGACCCTGAGCCTCAGGTCCCTTACCTTGATTTAGCAACACTCTAGCTTTGCAATATCAGTTTGTTTCAATACAATTGACCCAATCAAGGCGAAGTCTAAATAAACATATTTTATTTCTATCCGATAGGGATGAAATAATTTAAAACCTTCACACACACACACACACACACACACACACACACACACACACACGATCTTTGACTGGTGGCCAATAGAAAGTACAATACAGTTGTACCTTGGAAGTTGAATGGAATCTGTTCCGGCAGTCCGTTCGACTTCCAAAACGTTCAAAAACCAAAGCGCAGCTTCTGATTGGCTGCAGGAAGCCACAGAAGCCCTGACGGACATTCGGCTTCCAAAAATAGTTCACAAACCGGAAGAGTCACTTCCAGGTTTGCGGCGTTTGGGAGCCAAAACGTTTGGAAAATAAGCTGTTCGACTTCCAAGGTATGACTGTAATAACCAATCTTACGTGGCTTCACAACATTGCACTGCAGACACTACATGCAACATCACATTAAAATATGTTGCAAATTATCTAGCTGTGCTGCCTTAATATATCTTTCAAATGTTAACTGCACCACAGGAACAACATATAAAAGGTGTGACTGCCCCAAACCTGGAAATCCGGAAGATGAATACTGCTTACAACAGATGTATTTCAGAAAACATGACAGATGCTTTTCAGATTCACTTAGATCTTGTATCTATTGATTGGTCAGGGATTGCATCCTCTAGATTTGGTTTGCCGTTAATTTTGAACCATTTGAAGGCTGCTCTTTGATCACTACTTCTCTGGAGACATGTACATGATCAATGAGTTACAAGTTCAGTCGGTGCTACTCTGTTCAGTGGTGGTACTTTGCCAGGCGCAAAAGGCTTATCTCCAAATTGGAAGAGCCAAATGTTGTTTCATACATCCTGCTCTAGTTTTTTTTAATTGCTTTTATAAGAAATGCCATTAGCTTGCAAAAGGGAGGTGAGCTGCATTATGTGACAGGCTTGGGTAAAGCTTACTCTTGGCTTTTGCACTGTGAAAATAGAGGCATTTCATATAGTGTAGGGGCACAAAAGTTGTTGAGCTCCCCCCCCCCGAAATATACCCAGAGTCGAGCTTGGATTTCATGTTCTTTATTCAGCTCATAGTAGTGAGGAATGAAAATTTCCCCAAAATATCTGCTTTATATACACATTATATATTTACATAATGGGCCCCACGTGATTGGCTAATTCCGGGATTCACCTGTAGGCCAATCAGGTTGCGGATTCACTTCCACCTGGAGCTGGATTGGGTGGCTCCTGCGAACCAATCATACTGCTGCATTGTTCTAGGACCAATCAGACTGCTGCATTTTGGATCCTATTGTTCTAGGACCAATGAGACTGCTGCATTTGGATCCTATTCAACTCAGTATATAACACCCCCCCCCAAGTTATTGAGCTTCTTTCTTTCTTTCTTTCTTTCTTTCTTTCTTGGGGAGGGCGCAAAGTTGCTCATCTTCTTTTTTTGCAAAATCTCAATTTTTGGGGAAGGTTTAAACCGATTTTTTTTAGGGAATTTGCCAGAAAAACACTTGTGATATGGGCTGCCATATGCCTAGGTTTTCCTAAACAATTTTTCGGTTTTTTGAAAATTTTGCTTGGACACCATCTGCTAAAATTGACAGATTCCCTGCCCCCCCCCCAACTTGACAGCTATCCTTTATGCAACCTGCTGTGTGGATCATCTTAAATCTCCAAGCCATTCTGTGTGTGTTACATTACTTGCGCACTTCCAGGCCCATTTCCTGAACATCCAGAGGGGTGCTCATTGAAACAGTTTGCCTCATTTTCCATGTGTAAAAGATGCTCTCACATGTTGTCGTTGTTGACATCTGTCTGTCTCGAGCGACAATGGAGTGCTCCTCCAAGGGGTGAAGCCAAAGTCTCTGTGACAGACGTCCATGTTGATAAGCATTTTTTACAACTCTTGCTGAGGGGAAGGAGAAAACCTCACCGCCCAGGGCCAATTAGGTGTGAGTGAAATTGTTTGCTGCCCCTGTCAACCAGAGACCAACGGTGCTCCCAGCAAAGGCCTTTCCTTGAGGCAGGGTGAAATCTATACAGGCCTGGTCTTGCAATGAGGCTCTCTTTTTAAGGTCCAGAAAACCCAGCCTTCCCCAAAAGCCTCATGAAAGGGGGGGAGGGACTGTGTGATGAGATAAGCCAGGAAAATGGTTGCCAGCTTCAGGGAGATTGCTGCACAAAGCAGCCCCGCCATGTGAAGAAGGCAAGTAAAATGTAACTTATCAGTTGCATGCACCTGCAAATTCACCCTGATCCATAACATGGCGAAAGAGGAGTGTGGCTTGTTTCGCTCACAAATGAGGAAATACTATGCTGCCATGGCAATGGGCTACCACTTCACTGAATTCCTTTCCTTTAGTCACAGAAATAGGATTTAGCCTTCACCTCTGCAATCTCTGTGGTAACATGCACTTGTGGCTGCCCTCGTGCCAAGAGCAGTCTGGATACGCTCAGAGTCAGAACCAGATAAAAATACATTTAGTTCTAATTTAACATACTGGTCCAGAGGAACAGATAATTTGTTCTGACTAATAAATCAGGCAGAGAACAAGAAAGCTGTGATGTGAGACAGCTTCTTGACTTCTTTTTAAAATATAGAATGTTTGACATTTGGCAGAAGGAGGGGTATTTTCCCATTATGTTACTAGAAGCAAATCTTGTAAATATTCAATTGTTTCCTAACTTATTCTTGGATTGATTGCAGAATAACCATGTGGGGCAGGCTTTGGATAAAGATGCTCTAATACTGTTTTGGGGTTGCAACAAAGAAAGTCGTGTAGTTAGGGCAAGGACTTTCTCCACCTCAGCAGAGCTTCCTCTCGTCTCCTCTTGCCACCCATATCCGTTCTGGATTTCCCCTAACCTTCTGGAGCAGACAGGGGGACCATGGGGGCATGTCAGGAGAAAGGCATATAGGAAGTCCTGTTGAGCAGGTCAAAGTCCTTGCGCTAACAGACCAACTTTGTTGGATACAACCCTTGGTATTTAAGGTGTAATTCAGTGGTGTCCAAATTTTTTCAAAGAGGGCCAGAGTTGAGCTTTTTTAAGGAATTTGTCACATGGATGACAAATCCTATACAGTCTATACAGGTGTTAAATCACTCTGCCTTTCATATCTGAAGGCCGGATGAAAAATAAATCCAGAAAGCTGAAATATATGTCAGGAACATTGTAAAGTACATTACACAGTAATAAAGGTTGTCTGTCAACTTTTAAGTTCACAACATATGAACAGGAACATAACACCAGGTATACTTGTTGTGTCCAAATATATTTATACCTACTCCACTTGTGGCCCCGCCCCACCCTCACAACAAGAAGAAAATGGAAGAGTGTTATAAACAAAATTGAGTGAAGCCGAGGATCATAGAATCATAGAATCAGAGTTGGAAGAGACCACAAGGGCCATC